ATAGATGTCCGAAAGGATAGGAATGGCTCCACAGCAGGGAAGTGTGGCGGCATTGCACTACTGCGGCCTCACGCACCTGCGCTGCAAAGCACTGCTCGCGCACACGCAGATGCACACAGAGAGTATATTACATATGGATGCACAGGTGGCGCGAAACGTGAGCTGTGCATGCGCAGAAAATCGATAGTGTTTTGACATTCGATGTGGCACAAACGATTCGATTTCGGCCTTTTGGAATCGATCCCACCAAGAATAGGAAACAAAGGAATCGAAAACCAATTCCACAGAAATCGAAAGAAAAGAATCCATTTCGCAATCGAATCGGTAGAATCGGAACGTCCCTATTAGAAGGCAGCTGGTGCATTCGAAAATATCAATATTGGGATATTTTTGAACAATGTCACTAGAAATAATGTTTTCAAAGAGTATCTCACCATCAACCTTAACTTGACAAGCAAAAAGTTCATGAAAATGATGGAATATTGCTGGGCCATCTTCATGTTGCAAATTGTTCTGTGCATTTACGAGTAATAAATATCTCCCAAATTCTCGCAAAATGCAAAACTTACAGAGCAGTTTGGCACTTGGAAAAGCATATGCATAGGCTCACTTGCTAAATCATTTGTCATAATAACATCAGGCTGCGTAATTCCACGGAAAGCACTTGAAGGCAAAATTTCTTTGAAAAGCATTAAACCCTTAAACCTTTGTTTTCAGATTCAGGAAAAAGGGATGAAGTCTAGTATACGGTACAACTTACGAAAGTCGTTTAAACCGGCAGTCCGACTCCGTGCGCCAGTGCGGCCAGCCCCGCTCTATGATGGCAAGGCGGGCCCCTCCGCGCAGGCCCCGACCACGAAACCTGAACCGGCGGTCGCCTCACGACCCTACCGCTTCCGGCTGCAAATACACGCGGGTGCGGTAAAAAGCACGCTAAAGTGATAGGAGACGCCACTGGTAAGTTCGCTACAATCAGTGGTGTCACTATCAAAAATGGCAGAGTTGGCTACCAGGTGTCAACCTACTCCCCAAACGCTATTGTGAAACAGAAACATACGCGAAGCTTCACAACATTTATGTATTTGGACACCCACCCCCACCTTCCCAGAGTGAACGTACACATCACGTGTACATTAAACAGGTTCCGAGCAGCATCACTGCTGACGAGGTGAGCGAGGAGCTTGAAGGCGCAGGCCTCCACCCGTTGGGCGTTCATCAAAATGTTCGCCGCGAACTCTCCGAATCCCCTTGAACTTCGGAGAGCAGTGATGCTGCAGGTGGCGACGCCACCGAAACTCGCTTCGTGCGCACGGGATCTTTTCGCGTCATCCTTCGCGCGGGCGAGTCGCGCAAAGCTTTCGGCATAAGGGCCCTTGCCTCCTGCGACGTTAAAGTCGTCGGGGAGGAATGGAAGCACCCCCGCTTCTGCGAGAGATGCTGCAGATGGGGACATACTCGCAAAATATGTGAATACCCCGTGAGATGCAAGATTTGCACGAGAGAGGGCCACCAGGCACACGAGCCCGGTACGAAGGACTGCCCCATACGCGGTACTTCGGCTCGCCCGAAATGCTACAATTGCGGCGGGCAGCACGCGGCATCTTATACAAAATACGAAAGATGCACGCCGTTGCAGCGCTCATCGAGCACCCAAGAGGAACCAGTCGAGCCTCGACTCCCCTTCGGGCGAGGCTCCTCGGCAAAGAGCACGCGGCGAGGCGACCTGGACAGAGGTAGCGGGCCCAGCCCGCCCTCAGGCCCCCGCGGTGCCGCACAACGAAGCGGCGCAAGAGACGCGCTCTCGCGACTCAATTGGATACTCTCTCCGAAGACCAGATTTGGGGAATGATCCACCTACTAACCTTGCTTCTGCCCAACAATGGCGCAGAATAATTTAAATCCTCCGTCTCATTGCAAAGCACCGCTGCGAACATGCACCTGGAATGTTCAAAGTGCGTGCGAAAAGACCCAGATGATACAGAACTTTGCTACTGAGAACCAGCGCCGACATATTGGCGCTTCAGGAAACTTGGTTTCGTGAGCACACTGCCCGTATTCACGGATACGCAGTGTATCGCCGAGACCGCGAGGTCAAACGGGGGCGGTGTTGCGTTCCTTGTCCGACGCGACATCCCCAATTCGAAGTAACGGCCCCACTTGGCGCCTTGCGTTCTCGAGAGACAGCCGTGGTGCGAGTTTGAAAGCTTGGCGGCCGACTTACAGTCGCGTTCGTCTACTGCCCAAAACAGCAATTAGACATCGCCTGAATCGATGCGATACTCGCGTTAGATACTAAAGTTTTTCAATGCAAGGAACAGACAGTGGGGCTGCCTCGGTTTAACCAAAGCGGCACCCGTTTAGCCAACTACATAGCGATGAGACGTGGCGTATACGTAAGCGCCCCGAAAGAACCCACGATCTACCCGTCGACTGGAAATCAGGGAATTACCGACCTTGCGATCGCGAAAGGAATTGACTGCGAAACCCCGCTTTCGATCTCCTATCTGGTTGCCGATCACAGGTCGGTAAGATTCATGGTTTTGTCTTTCGCCACAGCACCCCGAAACAAATTCAT